CTGGACAGTGTTTAGTTTATTATATATGAGTGCAACCATGCATTACTATATTCACTAGTTATTCGCATATAATTGGTTCGTATAATAGTAAGCATAGTTACGCGGGGTTTTTTTGTTTTTACCTGGTCGATTACTAACTAATCGCCCGCTGTAGCGGACGATTAGTTCTAATCGCCCGCTCGAATTAGTAAATTGCCCATTGGCAAGGGTCACACCCTTTGTCTCCCTGACGACTACGCATTAGGCAAGTGCTTCACGCACATAATCGTGCAAGGAACAGCAGCAGTTAGCTCAGATCCGTCAATAGACTACAATCCAATGCCTGAGTTGTTGCATCATTTAAATTGCGCTCGTTCCGTCTTCGATTCATGGCCAGAAATTGCGGACATGGATTCTGAGCATGTGCGAACTTTCACAAACAAAATGGCGGATTTGTTATATATAAATCATTAGGAGTGGCGCGGTTTTTTTCAATTTAAACGTGTTTGATAATAGCTATGTCATTTGCAGACTTCGCAATAATATAAATTATATCTGGACCATAAAACAGAAGAGTTTCGCATCGAAATCTTACCTATAAGTTGTTCCATTATTCAAGTTCACTTGATAGTACATCGGCGTATAATAAAGTATAATAAAACTTGAGAAAATCGTTGAAAACGTACATTTTGCTCTGGCCGCATGTCTCCCTCGAACCCATCGTGAAATTTGCAGACGTCGCATCGTAAAATATATGTTGTCCCCTGCTTGTCTACATAATTTCATAGTGATACGAATTTTTAACTTGTTCCAATTTACGGGACAAAATGTTGATATTTACCCATAAATACCCTGTCCGTAGACCGTAAAACATTGCAAGAAGAACGATGTTTAATGAATTGTCGTCCATGTTTGATATCAAGAAGAAGCTTAGGAACCAGGCTTTCTTCCAGTGCGGGTTACACAGAGGGATAACGATGTATACACAAAATATTAGAGTCGTTTACCATGCGCATCACTTTATATCCCATCATAATAAATGAACGGTATGTAAAAGGTCGACAGTACCTATTATATCTATTTTTCTGCTTTAGTTAAACAAAAAACCAAGCAAAATGTATTTTTTTAGTTAAAACTTGCGTTTGTTAGGTATGAATAACTCTTCAGAGGAAAAATCGCTGAGATATATCGCGGGCGCATGCCCTGAATTTTTGGCCATGTTATACTAATATACTCGCCAGGTTTCCGGATTCCACACACCTTCCTCGGGTTACGGGGTTATTTAATTACTGTATAATTATAGTCTCCCTGAAGCCATGCTATTACTTATAATAATGATTTGCTGTTTTTTGCATATCTAAGAATGCTTTTGTAATGTTTCTGCTCGTTGATTTTGCCCAACACTGGTGTTCAAATAACATATAATCAGTATATGTTGATACATATCGGTTAACCCTTCAAAATAACACTCTATGCAGTGTGCATTGGATACATAAAATCTGTCGCCTCCATTTCCAAATACATGATCATGATCATGATCGTGTCTGTTCTGGCTGCCCGTACTCGAAAATCGGGGCAGTCAGAACAGTTCAGAAGACTCGTGTGACCGTCTTCTGTTCCATTCCATTAGTGTTCTGAAAATTTGGAGTATACTCCGAACAGTAAATGGAGAAGTTTGCTGGTCTTACCGCTTACGTTAAGAGTGTTGTTCCGTAGAAAATATCTCGTATTGGGTATCGAAAGAACTGGAGAATACAATCTGTGGGATGTATCTGCACGATTCGCACAAAGGGTCGCTTACAAATGACATTTCGTCGAAGAAACAATGGCACCACACCAGGACCGTCCATTGCATCTTCATATTCGAGCTCTGGGAAGATAACACGCAATGTTCTAGGACTTCTAGGGCTCTTGATCTCGTCACTTAAATTTTGAGGCAAGCAATAGTGCCACAGTTCACACGAGTCAAATTCTAGAAGTGATCTGATCGATGCATCGGCTAAACACTCGAATTAACTTATCTGCTGGAATCGAACATTTTTCGAGTAGGCGTAGTTCGATTGACGATGTAGGATTAATGTTCTGCTCAAAAACTATTAAGTTATGCACTTGTATCATCCAGGTCCTCATAATTATATATATTCTGTAAAATAAACTATGAATGGAAAAAGCACAGAACAATAAGGAATTTTTTATCAATATGTTTTACACTGTTATTATTAATAAACTACCTGCAAAATGTCTGTCATTGTAGTATATAAACATTATTCATGAATAAATAAAGTTCATATAAATGAAGTTTCATAAACCATAGTATTTCACGTTCAAAATACATGCGCTATACAATGGAAAACAGCCCTATACTTAATCAGTTTCAAACAATTTTGATGAAATTTTACACAACATTCATGTGTAAGTAGGATACATAACTACCCGCAAACGTTCAAGCTAAGCCATTATGTGTCAAAGGCGGCATGCAGGGAATTTTATTGAAACATTTGCACAGGTGGTCATAAAAGGGCTAATTTTTAAATTGCCAAAGATTTACGGTTTGTGTTCAAAGTATATATATGTACTGTATCAATAGATATTGATGTCTGTGTTAACATATAAAATCCAAAAATTGAAATAAATACTTGAAAATGACCAAAATTATCAAAATAGCAAACGTCTATTTTAGAATCCGCAAAGTACTTTTTCAAATACTACACTACTTGCACCAATATACTACACTACTTGTATCATTGTCATTGAGATATAAAATCAGATTTTTCAAATATTGTATTCTGTTGTCTTTCATTGATGCGTGAATGGACTGTTTGTATATGACATGTATGGCCTCCATGCACTAGCCTGGAAAAGGCTTAAACTTTATATTTACAAAGTCTATATAATATGACTTGGCAAAGCTTTTTATATGTAGAATGATATTAAAGAGTCATTGTCAACCACAATGCATTTGTTTACATCTTAACTTCGGAAGTGACAAATAGCAACAAATGACGATTATATAAACATTTCTTTGGTGCAATTTTAGTATAAAAAAGTTAAAATGAGCAAGTATAACAATAGGATGGCAGTAATATATCATGGATTTAAAACTGAAAGATCTATTATTACGTTATTAAAATGGCGACCAAGCGGGTTTGGGCGCACGATGCATTGTGGTTAACATGACCCTTTAAGAGTATCGACAAAATTTTCAAATATATATATTATTCAAACCAGACTGTCATGAAAATGAAAACAATTAGGTTCTAGGCAAGGAATCAACAACGCACACCAAATATATAGAAATATGAGTTCTTAACAAAGTTTTAAGTCGACAGCATACAAATTGTAAAAGATTTTTAAATAAAGTTCGCTGTCATAGGCTTCATTAAGATGTAGGCTACTTTTAATTATAAAACTCTCAGTATGATACCTTGTAATGTTTATTCAACTAGTTGGTACAATGAAGTTTGGAACAATAGAAAAAATGTTTCGAAAATACGTCAAAACAAGACTTTTGTGTTGGTGGCCATTGATCTCATGGCGACAGCATTATAACATCATCACATAGAATAACTTATAATTAATCTGCAGTAGGAATCTCAGTATCTTAGTAAGATTGCCAAACGAAAGGTTGGAATTTTTTTAACTAAATGAATGAACACAATTTCAGGTATAAATCATTTAGTAACTATGTACCAAATAACAATAATAGCACTACATATTCAGCGCTATCAAGAAAAAGGACTATTACGAAATTGAAATTATAGAGTAACTGAGTATTTTCGTTTCATATAGTATGATTCGAATTGTTGGTCTGACGGTGGCATTCGCGTGTTTCATATTGCAAAGGTATGTAAATATCAGGTGCTGAATCTTTGTTCATGTATATCAGATTGGCTTCAAGACAATTTACATTCCAGGATGACTCAACTATCATATCAATCGAAACCCATTCTCCTCATGAAAAAAAAAATTGCCTTGAAGCTGGCGTAAATTCCACTGAATAGAAATTCTATTCTCACTGGTTTGAGCATGTTAGTTAAGAGAAATTTTAAATTGAATCCGCGAATAGCTTGCGTAGCGACGCAGAAACCATATCGGATAGGGCTTGTGTTTACATATACATGAAACGATGTAATCGTACCAATTTCTGCATCGAAGGGATGACGCGCGCGCCCTTCCGCTCGAGCTCTTGCAAGTAATGCGTGTTAAGCCGAATTGTTTTTTGCAACGGTATCATTGTAATATAAGCAGCAATTAATTGTAATGATTATAAATAGCAATTTTGGGTTCAATTCGTGATTCAAGATGGCGTCTAGAAAGTAAACACCAGTCTTGACATTCCAACCTTTTTACGGACATAGCTTGCTTACTCTTTCAAATGACGTCTACAATATTTTTGTAATATAGATACATACAAGAAAAGACAAAGGCAATACAAGGGCGGGGGAGGAAGTTATTTACACTTGGGCCATTACGTTTCGCGAACGAAGCAAAACCGACCCGCAATGTAAACATAGCTGATAAGCTGAATCTTGACTTCTTGAATTGAGTTGAGCAGTCTCCGTTAACTGCAAAAAAGTTACAATTCAGGATGAGAGGGGAAGTATTTGAATTGTCAGAGATTATTTTCAGCGGCACTTTTTCGGCTGGTTTAAACTGGTATGCTTTACCAATGCCAGTCCATCATATCATAGCCTATCGAAGGGAAGATGACTGTGAAACTCATTAGAATAACAATATAACAGATTATCTATCTTAGTCAACGTTTATTCTTAAATCTGGTCATTCACTGTCACGTGTATTGTTTTTTTTCCCACTACCCAAAGCAATGTTTTAGGCAAGTTATCTGTCCGCGACTCGAACAATATAGGAAATTGGAAATTATTGCTATTGGTGAATTGGGAAAAAATTTAAACACTGCGAATGTATAGATAATATACCTTTAGTTAGAATAAATCTACTGTTTTGTTGTTCGTGCTAGTTATCCGTCGTCAGCATCAACGACCGTTCCATTTATAAGTGGTATGCAGCTTGGAAGTGCTTTCGACTATTCCAAATTTAAAGTTGGGAACAACCTGGTTGGGGATAACGTTCGAAACGGAGCAATTCAGAGACGTAATGACATGTCTTATATGAAGTTTAAAATGATAAAAAGTCAAAAAGATATCAGCGATGTGTTGGATGTCTCGGGAGAATTATCTGTCAAAGTCATGGCTGGACTCGTTGATGTTCAAGGAAAAGGATCGTACCTGAAAAGTTCAGTGACGAGTGGAAACACTGTGGAAGTTTTGGCGCAAATATATTATCGGACGGTAAGATTTTAAAATTTGTCCCCTTTAAGTTATTGTCTGAAAGTGTGTTTGTTTTCGAACCTTAATTATAGAGAATAAAAAAAATTGTGTGCCTTGCGGGAAACATCAAAGCAAATAATAGCCCCACTCGAGGGAAGCGAAAAACAAATTTCGGACTTTATTATATTCATTTTGAAATCAATGGTGTTTCCTGCAATCTGATTGGTTCACAAGAGTGCGATTTCAGCACGAATCGCACTGCTAGCTGTGCGATTCATGCTGAAATCGCACCATCTTTCAACCAATCACATTAGAGTGCTGATTCCAGCCAACCAATCATATTTAATCATAGGATTCAAGTAGCCAATCAAATGTAAGAAAAATGTGATATGGCAAATGAGGAAAAACAAAAAATTTACATATGTCGTAATTTAAAATTTTTCTAATCCTCTTCATAAGTGCCTAAGTAATTTTTTGCACATAAAAGCAAAACAATATGGATAGCTACAGTAAACTATCAAAGGATTGCAAAGAAATGTATGTTTTTGAAATTTCACAAATAGTAACAGGCAAAACGCCAACAGAAGCAAATTTAAAGAAGCGTCAGGTCTGTCTCAGGGAAAACAGAGGTAAATTCGCCAATCGTATTTGCAATTTTTAAACGCACCAAACTCTTTCAAATCACTCGTTAAACCTACAATATGTTTAAACTTACTTGTGCTGTCTCTTATTCTTTATGAATGTCTTCATTTCTTTAACGTTTTTGCAGTTTAATTAACAAACGTTTTCAAAACTAAGTACGTTCATCTTGTTCGCTTGTTGATGCTATGCTACAACACTTAGGGAGGTACCGGAGATGTGTTTTTTGCAAACAAAAACCTTTCCGGTTTACACAAATATTTATTAAAGATTTCCAAATGAATATAGTAAAGTAGAAATTGAACCTCATGTCGTGAAATTTTGGACTGAAATCAAACTTGTGATTACAAATCCCACTCCCTCTTTGCGGGGAGTTTTTTCAAATTCCACTCCACTCAGTTAAATTACCATTGTATATTATGCACGATCACAAGAAGACGAAGTAGGCATATTACACAAAATACATGATATACACTCAGGTTGTCTCAAAAAAGGAAATCTACCTTCACCATGCCATTATGCGTTCATTACTCGGTGTATGGACGTAATTTTTTATAATCATAAAGATTAGGCTTTTGGCTGTTGAGTGTTGAATGACATATTCTTCAGCCTTAAAAACGAGCAATTGAGTAAGTACGAGGTAAACAAAATTTTTTTGTCGAAATCGTATATTTTCACTGCTGCACCCAATTAAAGCAGTGCATAATAAAAGGAAAAGGAATTAATTACGAATGAGCCATGTTAACAATGAGTTCAGAGCTGGTTTACAAGATGTCTATAATAATTATGCATACCCACGTATTTTATTTAAGTGAAATTCATCAACTTAATCACGTCAGAAATGCTTATCAGCGATCGTTACTCAACTATTGTGTAATTTTCGGTTTAATTAAACGCCCCGTGCAAGCCCCACGTCACGCACAGTTACCTACGTTATTTGTTAGCTATCCTTCTAACTAGCTACGTTTTGGAACGCCGTTAATACAGCAGTTTCACGAGATACACGGCTATCTGAAGCATACATTTTGAGGGCAATAGTTGTTTTTAACATTTAGGAGCGGCCACTAATTCACAATCAGAAACGTCAGAAAGCTCCCGTTGCGTCTACTTATAAAATAATAAGTCGTTAAAAAGATATATTTATTCGATTCCGTCAAATAATTGCTAAATGAATAATTGCTAGAATATAGATTGTCTTAAATTGTAAAATAAAATAAATTTATCTCGACTACAAGATGTACATGTATTTATCTTTATGTGTTATTTCAATATGATTTGAACACAATTTCTTTTAATATTCCCAGTCATAAGACACAAAGTGTTTCAAAGTGCACAGCCACAGGTAAAGGTAAATCATTCAATTTCATTTCTCAATGAAAGACAATATTCTGGCAAATTATTTCACAATAACGAATAAATATATATTTTTAACGACTTATTTATTCTATAAATAACCTCAACGTGAGTCATGTTAACGCTTCCGTTTTTGAATTATAGTGACCGCCCCTAAATGTCAAAACCAACTATTGCTCTCAAACTTTTTGCTTGAGGTGCTCGCGTATCTAGCGAAACTGCTGTAACTCGTGTACTTAACTAAACTGATCACAGTTAATTAAGGATTTAACTACAGTTGTTAACGCTAATTTTAACTATACATGTACGTTTTTATTCAACCGGACAATGCAGAGTGATCAAGTTGACGCGATGTACATTCAGGAAGGCTGCATTAAATGAAACTTTATTACAGGTAACTAAGACGATTACTGATGACGCAATGATACCGATAACAGACTGGCGGAACAAAATCGATGGTGGCAAACATTACATACGCAGTATTACATACGGCGGGTATTTGATTGCGTCTTTGAAGTATACCGCGAAGAAAGATGAAACAAAAGAAGACATACAAGCATCGGTTGAAGTAAACGTGAATACAAAGAAAGTGAATGTCGGTATCAAGGGACAGTTCCAGAGTCTTGCAGAATCTGCTAATAGCGTTGCTAACTTGAAGATCTCTTATACTTCATCTGAATTACCAGATGACACACCTGTCGACCTGGACTCGATCCTTAAAGCAATTTCGGACTTTCCAAACAAGGTTTGTTTATATGGGTTCTCCTTTCGCCAGAAAAACACCCAAACATGGAAATAGTGGATATAGAATGCGTAATTGATTACGAATCATGTCTGCACTTTTTCTCATACGTGCCTTCTCAAATCCGCCATATTGAATTTAACTAGGAGTGAGAAATACAAAGTACCGGAAATACATGCATTTCCAAACGTTAATTTAACATGAAGTATTATAGTAATTGAACATCACTGAATGCAGTTTCGCGTTGTGAAGTCAAGTGTTGCCATGACAACAATGTTTTTAAATATTTATTTCTAAAAATATTTTTGTACAAAATGACAACAATTGTTAAGATTATAGTACTTATAACAATACAAAAATAAATTTCTGAAATATATACTGCTGGTATATATGTTATTTTCCATTTTGTGCTCTTAAGCCCGTTCTCCACTACGCGAATTTGTTCGCGCGACGCCAAGCAAAAACCGAAATCCCGCAACGTGATTGGTCGGCGAAAAAATTCGTGGCGAAAAAGTAGGATCGCTTCCTACTTTTTATCTGTTCGCGCGAATAAATTCGCCTAGTGGAGAAGGGCTTTAGAGTTAAAGTAAATTTAATCTGCAGTGCTTCATCCAATGTTTTTGAAATGTTCACTGAACTCCCCAGACTTCAAGCACTAAAACTGCTTTGCCGATAAACTGTTTTTAACTTCTTAATAAAATAAAACAAAGCAATTTCAAAGTATTGAATAATTTCAGTAACTGTTTAATTTATTCATAATATAACAGCTTCTTTAATTAAAATGGGAAACAGTGCCCGTTTTACGTAAAAAATGAAGCAACAAAATTCACAAACATAAACATTGAAAGAAAAATTACCTTTATTCCACTTTTCCACGGTTTTTCCCACAGTATATCAATTAATATTCTTCTTATTTCTTGAAGGCATGCAAAATTGCTTAAATCCTCATTGTATGAAACGTTTCTCCAAATAATAATAATAATATAATAATATAATGAATTTGTCACTTTATACATGATATAAACTAATTAAAGACAAGTAAAGACAGATACAAATCTTGGCAGGGGAAAGGAACAGGACTCTCGTCCCAATTGACACCTAACCCCTATTGTATCATAAAATATATTGCTTATCCCACCAATGGCAAAATTTTTGAGAGCAGTGAGGAGGTCCCCCCCCCCCCATTCACCATGACACGACTTTCAGCAATTATTCCAACTGATCGATTTTAGCATGTTTAATACTTATAGGTAAAGCAAAGTAAGGATGGTATTGGGGTTCCAATAGAGGTCGAAATCCGGGAACTGAAGTATCTTCAAGGGAACAACGAACTAGACTACGTTGTAAGCGGCCTCATTGCTGGAAAAGTTCGCAGGTTTGAGGCGATGTTTGCAGACTTGGAGACGACTTATGACGCAATCGACAAGTTGGTCACAGATCCAAAACACGAGAAAATGGATGATCAACTAGCAGCGATATACGGCGAATTTAAATCAAAGATAGACAGAATAAAACGTGAATTTTATAAAGCCGTCAATAACCTAGACCTTAACGATAAGCCGGGAGAACTGGATCAGCTAACGAAAGCCTTTGAAGCCTATAAAGCCGGCGATAAGGGTTTCGTCCCTGGGAAATATTCCAGGCAGTTCAAACGACTGCAAAAAGAGGAGCCTTTGCCACTGCCTTGGGTATGTCGTATATACATCCTATATATCACAAATCACAATGTACAATTACTCCTCACAGCCAACTCGTTTTGAACATACCATATATATATACCCACAATAATAGACAATTCCCATGCATAATAGAATAATTTTTTATCTTGGCAATAAAAGCATATTACCGGAAAGGGCAGACTACAATTAGTAAAATTCCAAAGTTTGGACTATGCGAAGTGTTTTAAAATGCGGAAAATATAGCCTTGCAAAGTTAGCAAATTTTGTATACTTTTGTAGCAATGTCCGCATGCAATATAAAAATATTCAAAATTTGTAAACTTTGCAAGGCTATATTGTCCGCATTTTACAACACGGAGACGCTTCGCCTGGAGGACAAATATTTCCGTGCGTTCTTTTGCAGTTTTTGAACTTACCTACCTGGCGATGATGCCTAAATGCAGTTCTATGATTAGTGCAACTATATTTTATTTGTTTTTTCCACGGTTCCCAGAATTATAGGTGCTGGGCAATCGATAGACCTGATATCCCCCATTTCCCAAACTCACATTAAAACTACGCTATGTTAGTAGTATATCTAAACTTGTCCTTGTTCATTATACAGTGCCGTAGCTAGCATGTATAGTTGGGGGGGTGTAGGCCAAAAATTTCCGAATGACGAAGAAAATTTCCGAATATTTCATGGCATACGAAGCTGGCATATGAAGATGCAGGAAAAATTTTTTTCAATCGAAAATTTTGGGCGACCTCCCTCCCCCCGTCGCCAAAAAAAATTTCGGTCAGTGTACCATTTTAAGGGTCAAAAAATTTTTCTGGACATACCAAAAGTCAAATATTACCTATAAATTGCCTGAATCTCATGATTTTCGTACAAAAAGCATATACTATTATTGCCGTTATTTTCCGAATGGCCAACCCGATTTTCCGAATATGTTAATTCTACAAAAGTTGGGGGGGGGGGGGCTAATACCACCCCCTCGCTACGGCCCTGTGTTCATATTCAAGTTCAGTATAATTGTATAAATCCATGGTAACTCGGCGATACAAATTTCGGAGTGTCAGAGTCGTTGCACAAAGGAAACCACATTATTGTTAATATAAAGCTAAAAAAATCCAGCAAAATTAACGAAGTTAATTGCTTGCGACATGCAGATTCCAATGGCCATTCAATTAATAGTCGCCATTTTGAAACTGAACTGCATAGATCAAAAACGTCACGTTTGAAAGAACGTCACGTTTGTGACACCCTCCAAGAAATATCAGAATGACATGCGCAGAAAGTCCCAGCACATTTTAGACCTTCGGCTGTGCCGGAGTAGTTATAATTATATCGCAACATTGATTAAAATTATATCTTTCAGGATGCGAAGTTGAAAAAGAGGCAGGTAAGATAATAAATTGCTCAAAGTCTAAATAAATTTCAGGGATATATCACTCCGAATAATTTTACGAAATTTATGGGATTTTGAAAACCTTTTAAATGTTGTATAAACTACATTACAAGTGAGTGCGATTTTTGTACCTGACTTTGGGTTTTAATTTTAAGCAAAAATATGAAAAGTGTACTAATTTATGCCATCAGAGTGTGACTTTCTGATAGTTGACGGCCGTCGATTATTCAAGTTGTTTACTGTACATCAGTGCAGCTGGAAAATGTCCTACAGCACCAGGAAATGCACCTCAGGTAATTTTCGTAAACCTTGCAGGAAATGTTCATGTCATCTTATACACTGGAATGCCATATATAAAATTTTCTTATTGTTTAAAAATTCCAAATGCACTTTGGAAATCGAGATTGTTTTGTGCCGAGATTTAAGTTTACCACAATGCGTGACATAGCGTACGTTCTCTGAAATCTACTATATGCACAAATTTGGCTTACACCGGAAATTTTCTTGCTTTTTCTGCCAGCAAGAGAAATATATATGATTTAACAAATATAAAACATTTTCCGTGTTGATATACAGTTATATCAACACGAGTGGAATTGGGAAAACGAGAAATTGTGTGGAAACACGACGCCCGAAGGGCGGAGTGTTTTCATACAATTTCGAGCTTTCCTAACTTCCACGAGTGTTGATATAACTATTTATAATATAGCATTTGTAAATTCTGAACGCTTATTGGCTAAGAGCCGTGTTGATATAACTCCATGTCAACACGGGAAATTTTCCGCCGCTTGTAAACACGGAAATTTTTCTTATTCTTCGGGCTTTTGACATTGCTATATTATAAAACAAATATAAAACATTTTTCCGTATTGATATATAGTTATATCAACACTCGTGGAAGTTGGGAAAACTCGAAATTGTATGAAAACACTCCGCCCTTCGGGCGTCGTGTTTCCACACAATTTCTCGTTTTCCCAATTTCCACTCGTGTTGATATAACTGTATATCAACACGGAAAATGTTTTATATTTGTTAAATTTAATATCAATACGGAGAAAATGTTTTATATTTTTTTTATAATATAGCAATGTCAAAAGCCCGAAGGATAAGAAAAATTTCCGTGTTTACAAGCGGCGTAAAATTTCCCGTGATGACATTGAGTTATATCAACACGGCTCTTAGCCAATCAGCGTTCAGACTTTACAAATGCTATATTATAATACTTACTATAACATGAATAGATTATATAGAGAATAATACATGGGTGCGCGGAAATACCAGATTTATTTCCAGTGTTGAACATGATATCTCACGAGTGAGCGCAGCGAATTAACTGGTGAGATATCATGTTTAACACGAGAAATAAATCTGGTATTTCCATGCACCCATGCATTTTTCTGTTTATTATATAAAGGACAGTCTTTGAAAAGCGATCATTTTTACAGAAAAGCGATAATTCGAAAAGCGATAATTTTCACATGTGAGATTATCACGAATAATCTCACATGTGAGATTATCACTTTTATCAGTGCTCGAAATTTCTATAAAGCACTATACTTAAATAACTATAATAAAAGAACATAACCTCAAGTACAAGTGCTTGCATGCAGGCTAAAATACCGCATTGTAATTAGCCTGCTTTCGGTTATTTCATGGGCCGAGTAGATTAATAAATCTAAAAATGTTTTTGTAAACCGTCGTATATTTAAACTTTCCTTTGAGAAGCGTTGTCTGGGTAAGATAAAAACAACAAGAATAGCTCGCGATTTCATGCATGGTGCAATGTGAAGCTAATCTTCTAAGTACTGAGTTAGGTTTGGAGGGTTTAGATTAATTTTCTTTTTCAGGTCGAATGTGTTCCTAAATAATCTTATTGGACCTCCAATATTGAACTGGTTCATGGTCTGTTAGCTGTTACTTTTTTGTGTCAATAGTTAGGGAACATAGTAATTTTTTTTTCAGGAAAAGGCAAAGAATAAAAAAATGATGAGAGATATGGAGAAAAATATTGAAAACGTGAATACAGAAATATCCTCGTTCGAAAGACATGTCTCAGGTTAGTAAATGGTCATTTTGTGGGTCTTAACATGTTCGGCATATAATTATGTAGACCCTTTGGTAGAAACCAATATGAACTTAGTAATATTTTATAGTTGCAAACACCCTGAGATCGATCGATATCTTCGTTATATGTTTATTTTCCACCAGGATAATTACTGACTGTTACAGTAAGGTTGAAATAAACACATTTATAGCGCAATTAGAATATTAAAAATTCAAGAACAAGATGTTTCCTTGCCTGACTAGAATGTGTTCTAAACAAATTACAGAAAAATAAACACTTGAACCTATATTAGCTATAAGAACAATTGAATTATTTAAGTGTGGTTTTCGGTGCGCTGCAAAATTTCCAATATCGACCTTTTTTATGAAATGGGCAACTAATTAAGGTGGCTTCTTACATTCTATTTCTTTTTCATTTTATTTCTCGCACTTTTTGGTGTAAAAACAGTATAATTTTTCCGCTTCTCTGAATTTTTATCTATGGTCAATGATTTATCATATTTAAATTTGAAAAGAGGTTTACAATATGAGCCTCGGAATATATATGAATGACGATTGCAATATGTTTAATTACTCGCCCTGCGTGGCGATTTTACAAAGTTTACAAAAATTCGCCGAAGGAAAGGCGGGAAAACCAGATCTAAAATACAAAAAGTTGAAAACACCGTAGTGCATTGAATTAAGCAAGCGTTAACCCATCTTAAATGTGGTTTTGTTCTAAAATCAGCATGAAATTAAAACGTTTCAAACATTTAACTGAAAGTTTGACTTTCGCATGAAACAACTCGTAATTTTCTGTTCAACAGATCAAGCAGTTCATGTGAATTGAATAGAATGAAAAGGCTTAGAAACCATTCCACGAAATTGGTTAAATTAACAAACTGATAAACATCTATATAGCCTACTGTATACATTTTAAAAAATTTACTAGTGTAATGAAAAACTGTCGTTTCCTATGTGGATAAAACCCGCGCTTTTTCAAGATTTTTAGCGTGCCACGAAGATTGCACCCGCGGGATTCAAGGATGATGTCTGATCTATATATAAATCATGTTTTAAACTACACAACAGTTAATTGTAGAGAGCCTGATTTAGTTTGAATATGGTTAATTTATTCACGCTCATATCAATCTTAATGAAATGTTCACGCTGTGGATCATGTATGGATTTCTTCCAAAGTGAGATAATAGTTATACAATCGAAGCTGCAAATAATTCATTTGACTGTTTGGATTTTCTCCCAAGAGTGTGCCCTGTTTTGGAGCTTTAGTCTTCATATGAAGCCTATGCCGCAATAGAGGAGGGGGGGGGGGGGGGAGAGGGCAACGGCTCCAGTTATATACACAATATAACAACGTTAGAAAAATACATTGCTCCCTAGATCCAAGAACATGCAAAGATATACACGGAGGTTACCCTTCAACTGATGGAGAGCATAATCTTTATTTAAAGTTTCCTGAATGCAATCAACCTACAAAGATCTATTGCGCAGATATGAATACAGTAAATCCTAAAGAATATGTCACATTGCCAGCCGGAGGGACAAAAAATTTTGCATTTCATCTTGATAAAGAGGAGGGCCACCGAAATGAACCACAGTGGACACGATTTGAAAAGGTTCTTATTGTTGCTTAATATGCAGATTTCTTCCAGTAGTCCAGTCAAATAACTATAAGTACATGGTTCTGATCAAACTAATTGCAATAGGTTTGTTTTCAGTGGTAAAGTGTGAGAAAAGTTGTTCGGATTAACATGATACTAAAAATCAAAAAATATCCCTTCGGTGCAACATGGTGAAAATCGAGTTTTTCTTACTTCTACCTATAGAAAACCATTGTGGACAGAATGTTGAAATTTTGAAATCATTTTTAGGCAAATGTAACCTACATTATTGGAAAGCTTAGAAAAAACTAAAATATAAATCATTAAACGGTTATCTTGCTTTTGCCTATCCAGCCGAAGTTCTACAAGATTTAAAATGCCATAAATTTGTATTTTGTGCGAATTTTGCACTATTTTTCCAACTTTGAGCTAGAATAACGACAAACTGACCAGTGAATTAAATATAACCGTTTAATGATCTATATTTTAGTTTTTTCTAAGCTTTTCAATAATGTAGGTTACATTTGCCTAAAAATAATTTCAAAATTTGAACATTCTGTCCACAATGGTTTTCAATATGTAGAAGTAAGAAAACCTCGATTCTCACCATGTTCCACCGAAGGGATTTTTGGGGATTCTTAGTATGTTAATCAGGAAACCTTGCCTCACATTTTTCCACTGAAAGAAATTCTATTGCAATTTCTTTGACCTCTGGTCACAGATTGACTTGACTACAGTTGTGGCCATGCAGTTTCATTATGCATGCACGTGTGTATATAAGCACGGAAAAGCAAAATGAAGTTAAATTATATAGTAAAATATATAAATTCTTATCACCATGACGCTAACGTCGTGCTGCCGTCAATATGTCGTAACGCTGAACGACTACAATTAACGTACGCATACCAACACGTTCGCTAACTCCCCGATATCCCACTTATTAAACTCTTATTCTTTTTGACTTTGAAATTAATTTTATTTTTTCTAGATTCGTCTTAATATTGATGCCATGTCCATAGATATAGACGACTACAAATTTGCTACTGCCAGCGTGAAGAAAAAATTTCATCCTTTTGCAAGTGCTGGAGATTGCGTAAGCTACCATCCTAACTATTGCGCTGAAAACAACAAAAAAGGAAATTTTAAAGTTGATATAAGTGGTACAAATTTTCTTTTACCAAACACCATTCCTTATTCGTTTTATTCATGGCCAGCGTGTGTTATACGTTTGTACAAGGAGGTGATGAGCCCTGATCGTAAACAGTGGTCAGGATATTGCGGGGGGCGTTGCGGAACATGCTGGCCTAAAGTATTCCATCTTCTTGTAGAAGGATGTTAAAAGTGTTCCAAGAAATGAAATTAAACGTTATAATTGCTTGAATAATTGTCAGTTGACTCTTTTGAATATCTTTCTGAACCTTGATATTACTAATTTTACTGAATATTCTTTCTGAAATACGCAGCATATCTAAAAGTTGAACTATAAACAGCAGACACATATTTTTCATGTAGCTAGGCTAAATACACATGCACTTCCGGAAAGTATGTCACCTTGGCAAGGGAGCATTGTTTTCCTCAAACATCCAATCATATTAATATGTCCCTATACGGCCTGCGCGGCGTCAATTTCGGAAGGATCTATTGTAGCTAAATATTAAGTTTTTCAGGTAGTTTCCCTACGAATGAAAGTTTTGGTACCAATTTATATAATCTATTACATGAATATAGGAGATTCTAGTGAATCTTAAGGGGGAGAAGCATAATTAAGAACTAATTTACTTAGAACTTAAGTCTTGTTTACTATAGTTTAGTCACATTCATTCTTGAGCCTTATATTATTTATAGATATTTACAAATATATGTTACCTCCTTTACAACGTTTCTGATAAAACGTTATAATGTATTTTCACTGATTGTTATTTTATGTAACCTTGAAACTTACTTAAATTAATTATTAATGGAGAATTGTGAGTTTACACTTGTGTTAGGACGTTCGCGTTTATACGCATTGCGACTGGTCGGGCTGTGTATTGAGTTTTATGTTACTTATCAATGAAGAGTGTTCTAATTTGTGACGCCGTCAGACGAGGGTTTATCGTGTTTTTCACGTGCATCTGAAATATTTCAACAACTCGCAAGGAGAAACAAAGTATCAAGGATTTTAGATTATCTGTACAAATTTGTTAATGTATAATTTGATTCGAAGGTAGCCTGCGTCGCATAGGTTCACACGTGCCACTTTTCTGTTTGGGAACTTCGTTATTTGTTTGTGTATTGTAAGGTAATCAGTTCTAAATAAAGCAGTTAAAAGGTGTTAATGATTATTTAAACAAAAAAAAATCGAAATAAAAAAGGTTCGTAAAATTCTGGACTGAGCCATGACATGCATATTTAGGTGCAACTTCTATAGTTGTTGTATAACCCCAATTAACATGGATGCGTGAGACTGGTGACACGTATTGAAAGAACACATTTTATGGCCTGTTTTTGGCGAGAAATCTTAGCAAGCAAGTAAATTTATCCTCATTTTCCACATTTTTTTATTTCACAGTATTACCATCTGAAAAATTATAAAAGGAAAGATTTGGATTGTCGTTGTTGGTAAAACAAACAGGAATACAACACGTATATAAACCCACCATTTCTTTTACTCGTACTAGTAGATGAGGGCGGATAGTTGCCGTTCATTTTACGACCAACAAGCCCTGCAGGCCCGCACATGAGTTATGTGCAGGCCCGCACATGAGTTCTTTATTGGCATGGCTAGCCCCCAAAAGATGACAAAGAACAGCAGCACACTCGCATTAACACGTCTTGATGCATGGGCATTGTCACGTCTTGATGTATAGGAAATGATCTCCACATGCATCTGGAGCGAGAACTCAAGTCCAACAAGTGAAGCCATGCATATCATATCATTTAGTATAAATTTTGCATATCAAATGAGCTTTCGCGCGTTCTGATTGGCTACCTGACTAGTAAATCTGAGGCATTATTAACCACCTGGATAGTAAATAATGCTTTTCAAAAAGAATGATTCGGCAAATTTGGCTTCAAAATCGACAAAATATTGAAAAAATCGTCCCCAGAAAACGAAAAGAAGCACAAAATGTTGTATTTAACTTAAAAGGTAGGATTTCTTTATTATTTTACTGTGTCAGACATATTCACGGACAATTTAAAACTTATTTTGACACAGAAACATTCACTTCAAACAAATAGCAAAACCATCTCGACTTTTGGGAAAAACCTTGCCGTGATATTCCACTTTAAAATCCATTTTATTTTGTATGCTATAGATTACCCAATTTGTACGGTACTATTTCTTTTGATATGTCATGTTTTCATTGTGCTGTATGGTGTTCTGACCGCTGTATTGTGTTTTCGAAACTTGTAAATTAAAAAGTATTATTAAAACTTTATTTCGAACGAGATAGTATTTCATTTTACCAAATTCCTCAGCCATTTCCTGAAGAAATTAATGCTAAACAGAAATGTCTGGTGAAAGAGTCATGAAAAGTCTGGTGAAAGAGTTATTCCGTTATTGTGTTTATATTCCAGGCATAAAGCAAGAAAAACAACTTTGTAATAAAGCAATAACGTCACACAAGAAGCCATTTTGAAATCATGTGCACACAAGAAACACTGCAACACTATTAGTGAACAGGCCGAAAACAGTTTTATTTCTGCCCGGAAGTTTAATTGAACTGATATTCGGATATTTTGTTTTATTCATTAAAAATTTATACTAAAACAATTATTCGCCTCAGGCTCAGTGATTACGGCTAATATTCACCTCGACTTCGTCTCGGTGAATATTCACCGGTAATCACTTCGCCTTCGGCGAATAATTGTTATATATCATATCATATATATAGAGGATATTTCACGGTGGCACGGAAATATGACTTTTATTTTCGAGTGGTGAAAACAATATTTTACGAACGAGCGCAGCGAGTGAGTAAAATATTGTTTTCAACACGAGAAAATAAAAGTCATATTTCCAAAGGCACCGTGAAATGTTCTTTTTATTATATGGATAAAAGTTGAAGCAAAAACAACAAAACGTATGACTTTATTAGTTTATTCAAGTTTTGTTTTTTGTTTTGTTTTGTTTTGTAGCTCACCGTACGGCAACAATGTTTATGTCTCTCCGCTTGCTAATCGAGGCTAAATAGTCGCTGAAGATCGCCAAATAGGACTAATTAGTCTTCCTTTTTGTGTTTTCATTTTCTTCAGAAAACCTTGCCAAATCAGCGTCGAAAACATCAACAAAATGTCGAGAAGTTGTCATATTGTATATTCAAAACAGAAACAGCAAAATGGCGGGAATTAGCGTGGGTCCCGCGCGAGACGTTCCCGCGTAAGATATGATTTCATATTTCACTATAGTGAAATACGGAAAATATCAGTGGCGTATTTTACGGTATTTTACTCATATCCATATAATAAAATATCATATCATATCATGTCATGTCATGTCATGACATGTCATATCATATCATATCATATATCACTACATTATTATTCAGCTCACTCCCCATTGGGCTTTTCAGTGACCGATTACATCAAGTATTACGCTCATGTTACTTACACGCGTAAAAACGCTCAGGTTGGTGCAATACTGATGAAAACAGGATTGAAAAATGTTTTGCTGCCCACATTGTTCATAGATGTCAACAATATTGAACAATATTGTTACACCCGATTCAGGCTCAACAGTATTGTTCAATATTGTTGACAAGTGTGAACAACGTGAGCAGCAAAACATTGTTCAGTCCTGCTGAGCAGCGGGTTCGGCGTTTTTTCCCGTGTACACAGGAAACAACACCTAGTCTGTAACAATGTTGTTGAAAACAGGCCTGAACAATATTTTGCTGCCCATATTTTTGTGGCTGTTAACAATATTGTTCAGCGTTATTCATCTTTTAACAATGCTAAACAATATTGTTAACAACCAGGAACAACATGGGCAGTAAATTAAATATCGTTCAAGCCTGTTTTCAACAACATTGTTACAGGCTAAGCGTTTTTTGCAGTGTAGCCTAGACTATTTATCTTTACAACAATTGATATATTACTTTCCTAACTGTATTTATCATAACCCACCCTGTTAGTTGCGGATCTAGGGGTCGTCAAACCAGACACGCGACTAACGTAAAAATTGCAAACTTAATTAAAGTCTTAACTAGAAAATACATGCATGCAGAAACCCTCGCCTTGTTGACAAAACCATTGTATGTTCCGAACATGAAGTTCTAAAATAGTTGTCATGGTAACACGATAATTTTTTAAGAATATTCTTACAAATGAAAAATCGCCTAAAAATATCACTTTTAATTACAAAATCATTAATTTCCCAACATATATATGTTAGGTATGTTATTATACGTAATATAAGCCTCAATTTAAGGTAAAATTCAACCACAAACGCTTCGCAAAACGTTTTAAAGTGTTCTTTAACTAAACTGCCTTTAATTATTAAAATGCCTTATCGATAAACTTTGAGTTTGCAATAAAATGATTTCAAATTCTCGCTTGCAAATAACTTTGCTTTCTTTTTTATTTAAAAAATTCAATATAATAAAAAAGGGAATCAATCAGTTAAAGATACACTGAAATTATATTCTGTCTTGTTTAGTTGTTTCATATACGCAAAAGCCGTCGGGTTTTAAAGCCATTATAAAATCAATATTTAAAACAAACTTACCTTCGTTAACGTCGGCTCCCTTCTTTTAGCCGATTCTTTCGCAGTTTCTTTCTGCGAGAGCTTTTGAAATTTATAAAATATTGCAAAAATGCGAGTAAAAATGAAATATATTCGCAAGATATTTTATATCAATCATGAATCATCAAATCAAGAAATGTTTGCTATTTCGCTGTCGTGATGCAGTCGTTTATGCAAACTTTAAATTGGACCAACCGGTGTTCGCTGTTCATGACAGTCCGCCATATTTTTGAGATCAGTGAGGATGACCACCCGCGCACAGTGACCCACGCCCGCGATATTTGATGAACTTTAGACTTCCCTAATGCTTTCGTTTCCCCGGGTGTAAATAGCCGGGGGGAATTAGTACCCTCGCACGGCGCTTCGCGCCACCGGCTCGGGGAATATTCAACCATTAGTCCAGTTATTTCTTATCATGCAGCGGCACCTTATAATAGTCCTGCATCTATTATAATTCAGCGCTAGCAATTAACATTCCAATCAAACTGTAGTCCAGAGAATAAATTTCATACCGTGGCAGAGCCGATGAGCTTAGTGAAGTCAATAAGCAGCTGACATACGCAAAGTCGAACAGTCAAAAAGTCAAAATCCAGTTGGTCTAGACGCTTATTTCCATAGAAACAAGCGATTTTTTTGCGATTTTGACTGATCTGTCAGGAGTTCTGACCGATTTACAAAGTCAGGGGCTTCAACTTCAACTTCAACTTTATTTAAACACGGTACTATTTCACATTATATTAAAAATATATTATTTACAAAAACAACCAGAAAAAAAGTGATCTTCCAATAGGCCGTGTGCTAACTACTATAAATATAAAAAATTTTTATGACTTAACATTATATCAATCTGCATTGTTTTACCCCACTCTTAAAAGTTGCTATACTTCCTAACGACTTCAGGTCAATTGGGAGAGCATTCCAAGTCTCGGCACCTCTGTAGGTCAATGATTTTTTCATAGCATTAGTATTTGGCATTGGTATGTATAATTAAATTCACTATGCCTAGTGTTATGATTATGGACTTCTTGCGTATTGATGAAAATATCCTGCAGGTAGTTTGGAAGCATTTTATGTTTAATCTTATACATTAATGTAGCAAGTTGTTGTTCCCTTCTTGTTTGCAGATCTGAAAATCCTG